GTTCAAGTCCACAGTATATGGGGGTATCCCCAAGATATGAGATGTGGTAGTGTGTGATAGTAAATACAATATGGACTCGTCAGTTTTCAACAGAACAGCATTTGGTGCACGGAGGGGTACTGATCGCTAGTAAACCGTCGAACAGCATACGCGTGCAACATGTCCAAATTTGCCGCATTTGTGACAGGTAGATTGCTTGTGTTTACAATCAGCAGCATTTTCATGTCTTTCACCGCATCGGTAGCAAGTAAAAGAACGTTTAACGGTTAATTGAGGAAGCGATTTAACAGCGTGAACTGCGTCGGGAAGAGAATCGTTCCGATAGTGAAGCAATTGTTGCACCAAGTTCCCGCGTTGTCAGACCAACGCACATGCTGTCTCCCAATGAAGTTTGTTCTCGTCTTCCCTGGCTTTATCGTTCCGGATACCAACCAACAGATACTGGGTGGCCATTGTCTCTTCAAACTTCGTGGGTGGAATTGCATTATAACAGCAGTCTGGTAGGTATCGTTGTACACGGCTGATAAATTCATTAACACCTTCCGCTCCCTGTCGTAAGAAGGAAAAGCTCAGGCGTGCCGTGAAGACATGCTGCCGCGGCCCCCAAAGGCAATCGAGTGCATTAAGACTGTCGGACAAAGATGTGTTTTCGTACAAACGCAGTGCATCAAAATGCCTTTGACCTTCTGCACCAAGATGTTGTCTCAGGAGTTTGACAGATTGGGCTTCGGTAAGATTAATGTGAGGATTTGTTACTGAGAATAGTTCAAGGTAATCGCAGAAGGTTCTCTTCCAGCGAATCCAAAGCGCTAAAGTTGGCTTACAAGATGCATCCTTCCAAAACGGTTCAGGTGGAGTGAGCTGGCTCATAGCAAAGGTATCCAAAATTGATCTCCGTCGCCAGTGTTACAACTCGGCCCGTACTGAACCACGACACTTAGTAGAACGCAGTATTCGGCCCGTAGCGCACGAAAGTAGAACACGTCAGTTTCAGCAATACACAGAATGTATTGTGTCGCCACAAAGACAACGCTTCGCATAAGTTCAGACAGTCTAATCAATGGTTAGCTGGCGTTAACGGACACACACAGACTCTGGTGGATCCAACCAATAGGAACAGTTTAATCGATGACTGGTTAGCGTTGGATTGGCACACTGCACAGGAACCAAAGATTCGCACGGCTTCACCTTAGAGCGAAAAATTTGTGTAGATACATTTTGCGATACCCTCCGAAACACCTTGCCAGTTGAACGTTCTACGTGTGTGCGTTACTTGTCACGAACGAGCGCACTCACATTGGTTGATTGGCAGCAATGAGTATTGGTGCTTATTTCCACTTTTGGCGCATTGCAGTCCCCACGCCGGACACTGTTCGTAGGTGTTTGAGTGTCGCGCTGCTCAGAACTTGCAGCGCTTCTTTGTTACGTTTCTAGCCTTTTTGTTTTGCCTTCGGAAAAGGCAAATAGTTTCGCGTCGGTTGCCTGTTTCCTTTTACGGTATATGTGCGTGGTTGAAAATTCTACGTTGCTGATATCAATGTACTGCTGGAGAGATAAGCGCTGTTTTTGCAAAAGCCGCGTTGTCGTACCTTCATCAATGACTATTAGAAAGATCCGATTGTGTATAGACTGTCGGTCATGCATCTGCAGCAATTGCAGTACCGGGCCAAAATCTCTAACTTAGTGATGCAGGCGTAGTCGAATTCATTTGTGACTCTGCTTCACGAAAATAAATGGCAGCGATAGTAGGTCTCGTTGGTTTGGCCTTCGAGCAATTCAGTGAAAATTTCATTGACCGTTTCCAAATCCTTGGGATCATTGTCTTTTCGTAGCGCAATGTCTTTATCACATGGCGTGCGTTGTCGCCGGATGCTTGTCAAAATATGACCAAGCGATACGCCATTGATTGCTCGTCAAAACGTGCTTGTGTGCAGAAAACCATCCACATGCTCCTTCATGGACGCCAAATATTTGCCACGTTTCGATTATACATGTGCGATGGGGCAGGCATATAAACAGCCGGTAGTGACCCAAACAGCTTTCGAGCCCGAGAACGAGCATCAGTGGTCGCAAATATCAGGTTCAACTAGGTCCACCTGGACCACCACATTAGTCCGCAAAAGTTGTTTTCCAAATAACACCACAATTTTTCGCTCTTTTCATCTATCCGAATTAGGCTAAACATGTTTAGTTAAAGAAACTTGTTCATTGAGCCTCGTTTTCCCGGTCATCTTGCACATGGTGCGCTCAGTTGCGTCATTTGACTCCATATCCTGCGTTCCACGTGACTAAGTTGACGCACCAATGACACCGTTTTATTACTCTATCTTTTTCGTCTCATAACATTCATTGGACGAGGGGTCTCCTTGATTCTGATCGGTTTCGTCCGTTGTAACTGTAAGCGGCATCGCTTAAATTGTTGAAACTGTCGTTACGTGTTCACATTGTCATGCAACCTTTAAGTTACGACTTCGGCTCTCTGCCTCTTCGGATACAACAGGCTACAAAGTAAAATGTTTCCGAATGTGCTTTACTCCAGCTCCACATCCGCATACCTTTATTTGTATATATGTGTATATATTTGCTGTATCCATGGATCGAATCATCAATAATTCACCTGTCACTAAAAACTTCGATGTAGAAAATACCCAATTTATGAGTCCGACGTTGAATGAGATATTGACTACTAAAGCGTCTGCCATAGTGGGATTATGGAGAAACGCGCATTTGCAGTGAAAATCATTTCAGAAACAATGATGATGCTTTTTTCTCCTTGTTGTCACTTCCACCTTGTATTTTTGTCCTCTCAACTACCTTGGTTGCGTGCAAATGTATTGATGTTTCTATTGGACCAAACTTAGAAGATTAATGGCTATTATTATGTTGCTCTATATTCAAAATCTATTGAGAGATTTGTCTTGGTTTACGATGAACCGTTCCCTTCATACCGAGATGACCACATCAAAACAACCCAATATCATTGTATGGGTCCAACAACCCCAGATAGCACTTTTCGTATAGCTTTAGTTTGATACTATGACCTCAACGTCACCAACTTGCCGTCTGAATTCTGGTAGCCTCGTAGCTCCTCGAGAAATGATGAACGGGGACTTCACACTTGCCACGGCTCAGAGGGCAAATACGGTAACAAACGCGGGACGTCCGCCTAACCAAGGAATTTGGATTACTTGCCCTTCCCCTCATGTTTCCAGAGGTAGGGTAGTGTGGATCCCAAGTTTCGAGCAAAATATGGGGAACTCCATAGTGGTGGTCTTTCATTATTGATATCGTTTGTGGCTGGCATCCTACTTCGACTCACTCTCCGTTAGTCTGACGTTGTTTGGCTTATGTTATCATGTGAACTAATCACATTTCTGTGTTCTCCAGAGTTGATTCGGTGCTGCCGATGTCAGTATAGGTCAATGGCCTACCAGCAGTCCAACCGTTTGCAAAGAGTATCAACGCCTTGGTGATGCCTTCCCTGCGAAATTCTCGCTAGTACTGTAAATGTGCGAGCTTTACGAGCATTTATAAACTACCAAACTAATAAGCGGTGCAAACCACAAGCCCATCCTTTCGGAGGTGTCACGCACCACAATACCATTAATTAGCAGTAGTTGGTTGTTCACATGGAACAAAGAACACTAAAGACGTACAGTGCATGCACCGCTGTCTATAATCACTCCCCTTTAGTTGTGCCGAGAGCTAAATTGGGCACACTGATCGAAGTCCAAGTATCGAAATCAATGAACATGTCCGTAAGTTCAGCGGTAATTCCTTACAGTCCACACTCAGTCTGCAGCCTTTGGCATGCCTGAAAAAGCACCAGACTGCGCTGTTTCGATCGTCTTGGTCTTCTCAGTGGTACGCCTTCCTCGGAACCCTGCCGGTCTCCGACCCCATGAGTTCCGGATGCCAGCAGCTTGTGTCCCACGACTTATAGTTTTCCGCCCAGCGGCTGTGTATGACACAGCACTTAAAAACTCTACAGTCGGACCCAGAAGACCGAAACAGTACTGTCTGGCGCTTTTTCAGACATGCTAAAGCCTGCTGACTGCGACTGGACTGTGGTGAATCACCCCTGAATTATCCCAAAATCTCCACTACGCATTAGTGATATAAAATCCGTACGTACAGCTTGCAAGTGCTGTGTCGCGCACAGTCCCTATGCGGTAAGCCTTAACTCGTGAGGCTAACTGCTGTCCTTTGCACAACTCGTAACTGGCACGGCAGTGGGAGATGAGCCGGGCTATAGCATAGACAACTGTCAATCATGCAGATCCGCGGCCGTCACCCATGACTCAGTGGCAGAAGCTGCTGGCATCCTGAAGTCATGAGATCGGAGGCCGGCAGGGTTCCGAGGAAGAAGCATCACTGACGAGACTCAGACGGTCGAAACAGCGTTGTCTTGTGTTTTTCCAAATGTGCCAATATCTGCTGATTAAGACTGGACCGTGGCCAATTACATCTGAATGTTACCAACATCCACAATCTTAAATGGTTACGAAGCCGGCTGGGGTCTGTGACGAGGAGATTGCTTGCAAAACGAAACTGAGCTGTCTCAGTAATCATAAGGCACTCGATGAACCGGCTACTATGTCGATCCTAATGTGTCATTCAACGTTTTACTGCGAGATCGACGCACCCACATTTTCAGCTTACTGGAGCTATCGCCATCGACCCCGAACGCACACTACCAAACATCCAAAAACAGCCTACCTTGGTGTTGCACGCGCTCGGCCTTGTACGACCTCCCGTGATAATGCTTTAGTTTATCTATCACTGTTGTATGTTTGTGAAAAGTAAGAACGCACGACTTGGCAATTTAACCTAACAAATTACGTGTTCTAATTTTCCTGTTCAAAGAATGATTAGCTGTTTATCACTTGACTGTACCCAACCTCCATTCGTCCGACTAAAATTGTGCCAATCTCATGCATCTCCATATCCTCATGTGTGGACGCAATTAACAATACTGCTTTATTTTATTGCACCCAAAGTGCTACGTATCGTGGATGAGACCGAATACGAGTTTGGACGTAAGGGAAGAAGATATCCGCAGTCCAAATATTCAACTGGCTGGTTTCCGCCGGATTGGTCTGAAGGTCGGGGAACGCAAAACTATGGAATTTACACTCTCAGCCGAAGCACTTAGCGTTTGGTCAGAGTCCGCCAACGGTACCGTTCCTGGTGAAGGACGGCTACGAGTGACGGTTGGGGGACAACAACCAGACCAGGACGTCTCTGTGGGCTCAAACATCATTTCAGGATATGTGGAAATATTACGACAAATTTGATCGCTACCATTGTTATACAGCAGAATTGTAGCGTTTATCCAATATAATTTGAAATGCTGTTAATATTGGGAAAATCTTTTTAAATCCTCTAATTTCATGGTCCAATTTTTATCTTTACTGCAGCCATGAGGATGGTGTCCTCAAAGACACATCGCGTTATTTCCGCCTTCTTGACTGATCCCGATGACATAGAATAGGTCTGTGTACCAGTCTTCTGTGGAAAGCTACTTTGTGGATAATAGGTTAGCTCTCATCGAGCTAGTGGCATTTCACTTTAAAGGGATTATTGCAGGTACAGAATTAAGCGTCTTGGACAACATGTTACCAAACGGTTCAAACAATCGCCAATCGCATGAACTAACTTAAAGCAATTATTTGTCAGCCTAAAGCTGTCTTGGACATGGGTGTGAACTTCCATCATTCGTTCTGCACCTTAACCTTGTCTGGTTGCACCCACTGTTAGCTATATCTATGAATATCGGTTATTGTTAATGGTACTGAGGAGACAATACGAAATGCATGCATCTACCAGCCTTCGTCTTCTTTCCGTGCTTTTCAAATGTTTTAATGGTTCTTCCGGGTAAAGCCGTGGACACATTTCCACATATGTTCCATAAAAGTACTGGCGGTTTTGTAAAACGATTTTAAGACCACGTCAGAGATTATTCGGCAAATTTCAGTCAATGAAGTTTCATGCTCAAGCGGTTGCTTGAAGAACAACAATACGTCGCGCACCAAGCAGAAGTCACGTGTTAAATTCCGCACCTAATCGTCAGCCCTCGGTAGCTCAGTGGTAGAGCAGCGGACCGGAAATTCGTGGACCGGGGTTCGATTCCCCGTCGAGACAGATTTTCGTGTGGAGTTTAATCGTGACTTCTACCTTCTACGAAAGAGGAAACAATTGAAGCTGAGTCAGTTTACGGTCAGCATGCTTATTATGGTACGTAGTTCTGATGATATTCCAACCGGCAATACTGCTCCACCGTATATAAGTGGTATTCTCTCGAAATTGTGTGGTGCTTGCGTCCCAACGCTTGGCTACAGAAATGTTTCGATCCATCAGATGCTTGGCGTCCTATTATGAGGCACTGCACAATTGCGTCTAGTGTCCACCAAATTGTACGTGTATTTGTCTTCTTGGATCTTGAAGTGGTTCCATCACCTTAAGCCAATTGTTTTTTACACTGTGTGATAATCATTCTAAAAAGAATAATACATTTCTCCGGTTTAGTTACCTCGAATGACGTATTCATCGGGAGGACAAAAAGGAGTTTTGTGCATTCGGGAGAAGTTCGCGAGACTACACTCTTGTGTGAACTGTGCAACCGACCGGAGTTTCTTCTCGCCTTTTTTGTGACATCCTGGCCTATAACGAGTATTCGTGGGTACTCGATTACGCCTAGAGCGCGTTCATAGCAGACTGATAGGCTCGAAATGAGCATACATTTACCACCGCGTCCGTCAACAGTTTGGCTGAGACAAACCGCTGAGTTGGTAACCAGAAAGATTACAACTTGCAACACTGTGTAGGTGGGTCCTCTTCAAACTGCTCCGGCGACGTGTATTCTTAGACCCTCGTGAAAGGTTACTACCTGTGTTGTAGCGCCGCTCCCTAGACACCGACTTGCACGTTAATGCCGTGCAGAGGACAGGGTAGCCTCCTCACTAAGCAACGAACTTAACAGATTTAAGCCGCAAATTAAATTCGGCATTATAAGCCATTTGGTCTGCGTACTGATTACAATAGGGTAGTAGAGGGAGTTGTATGACATAGATAGAAATTCGTCACTGCTGACGATTCCCGAAAGGGTGAAACACGCGCACAGTGCTTTTCCGGGTGTGTGATGGCTGAGTGAGTCTAGATGTGAAGGATTTCTACCTTTACCATGCAACTCCACCTACTACTCTTCTGAAATGCGAGTTGTGTACAGCCCGAAAGCGAGCAGCTCTACTGCGCACAGACCCTTCAAGTGCAAGTTCATTTGGGATCGGTACGATAGGATAATCTCGTGGATGTTCCTTCTTTTGCCTACCGTCGGATCGGGAACTGATAGGTCAGTTGAGATCTTGAAAAGCCTAAAACAAAGACCGCATCACACCCTGTCCAAACAATTACTGCCCACATTTTCCTGCCCAGCAGTTCCTGCCAGGCAGGTTTATGTGAAGTAAAAGAGTGAAGGGTAAGCCAAGAAAACAAGAGGAAGAATGTCAGCTCAATAATGATAATACCAAAATGTGAGAAGAAATTAAAAAAACGAAGGACAAGTTGAAGATGCAAGTCGGTTAGGAGAAGGGGAAGGTTTGGTACTGCCACCCAAGAGCATCTGACTGACGCTCGAAACCCTCAACCGCAGACTCCCAAACGACGTGCTCCGGAAACGACTTCCAACGTTCAACAACTCGGCGCGACAAGCGAGTTTCCGTACTTATGCGGTCAGAACGCAGCTTTTGCAACTTCAACGGGTGACCTCGGAGACTAGGCAGCTTGGCGGGAGTAAATAGCCAGGACAAGTCTGGACCGATCTTACCCACTAAGATACGGTAAGTGAGGAGCAAGTCTCCTCTAATTGTGCGGTAGTGCGTTGAGTACATACCCAAGCTAAGCGAACGTTCGGGATACGTTTGCCCCCGTAAACTTTACACTAACCTTGTACCCACTCGCAAAACCCTCCCCAGTTTCATTTTGTCCCTTACAAGACAAGGTGGACAAGCCTGGATACAGTACTCTAAGTGGGGTCACACAAAAGTTGAGAACAGCTCCAAAAAATATTGGCCGTTAGGACACCGAAGGAGCGGCGAATAAACCACATCATACGTAACGCTGTACAAGCAGCCTTCCTCCAATTGTCCCCAGAGTGAAGCAATGAGGTGTGGGTGATACCTAGATCAAACTGCTGAGTGATAACACGGAGTTCATTTTCCCCAACCACATAGCGCTTGGGAGGACTAGCACCTCCTTCAAGCCGTAGTACGTAAATTGAAAAAGGTGGGCGTTTTGATTCCATTTTTGAGCGTCCTCAGCTTAATCCTAAGTGATTATGTTGTTTGAACCTACCGACGGTGTTTTCAGTCCAGGTGGTTCCAGCATACTTTGTGTCCATCCGATTACTTTGGCACTCGTCACATCTTGACCCATTAACTGCCAAAATATTCTTTGAATAGTGTTGGGTGGAGCGGAAAATGGGCTCATGCGCTCAATGCAGAGTACGCATGTGATCACATTTGGTTTCTTGCCACAGGCGACATCCTGTGGAAGACGTTTACGTTCTAATTTTCTCCACCAGCGACAGCTGGCGTTACTAGAAGATTTAAATTATGTACGCCGTGTGTATGCCGTAACTGCGCTTAGCTGCTGTGCGAGCACCACCAGTCGCAGGCGGGCTGACTATACGAGGACGCTCACCCCTACGCGGATTGGAACTCGCGCCATAAGATTACGAGACAAACTCGTTACTACTAGGCTATGGCTCATAGTAGTCAGCGGGTTAATATCCTCGATAGTCGGTAACTATCCTTAGAAGTCTGACCTCATGAAGTTACCCATGAACAGGAACAAGAAGGATAATAGTCCACAAGATTAAATGTGCTCTTTGGGTTCGAAAATTCTTCGTACGGAACAACAGGACAACACTCGGTGAAACCCTCATCTCGACCTTATTATATTTTAAGACTAATGATTTTGGGGAACTGGTATGTTGTCCAAGCCTGTTAAGAGACTTTGAGCTTCACGGATACGAGCAGTTTTCAGTCTCCACAAAACACATAAATTTGTCCTCGACTTAGGAGTAGTACTACATCACTGGGCGACCACGTGCTAAGTTCAGTGGGTTGCACCGTTTTTGTTCGGATTGCTACAATAACAAGAAGCAATGGCTACTGGAGCACATCGACCTCTGAGAATCAACGAATGCTTGACCGTGTCCATTAGTATATTTAGGTTTCGCGGTACAGGTTAACAATTTTCGGATACATGTGTCGAAAGCGATGTTCCTGAATGCTCATCTGAATTGCTGGTGGCTTCACAAATTGGCGGTCATTATGGAAGTGACAGCTCGCTCCGCTTCTCCGAATTGGTTGTATGAGATGTTGCGCTAAACCCCGTATCAGCATTTTCTTACTTGCCTAATCAACAGGTGGCCACTTATCGCAACTACTCATTACATTCTGCGATCAACCGTAGAGAAACAAGGAACAATGACTTATCACGGGATAAAAGCAAGTGCTTAACACGTCACGTAGGATGGTTCGACCGAGTGCAATGAAGTCGAAATATATGTGTCATCTACCGAGCGTCTACCCAGATGAATGTGTTGATACATAACGTTATTGTAAAATAAAAACAGAGTGTAAACATGCAGAAATACACGGGGTACACAGATACCTGATGAAAAGCGTGAGAAAATTAAACTATGGTCGCTCACTTATGCGGCGCTTCTTTGGGTCCATATGTTACCTAAATCAATTAGAAAGGCATGGTTAACGTAATACAACACGGCGTAGATTTTGTAACAAAGCATTGGCAGCAAGGAGCAAGATCTATTCGTTTTTTGTAAATTTCCAAAGTAGCGAAGTATACAACGGAATCAGGGAGTGCGTCAAAGGGTTGGCAAACCCCAACGGAAAAGTAATTCCGTCGACACTAGACCGTCATATCGTTCAAACAGGTACCCCTGAGTTGCGTGTTGCGGTCAAGTCTCAGCAAATGGCGGCGCACGTGGTCGGGGTCACTCAATATTGGGTACGCTAATACAAGGTCGCTACGCGGCCTTCGGTAGCGTCCGCTGAAAACTCCCAGCAACTTCAGCTTTCGGTGGTAAGCGTGATAGCGCAGGCCCATTACGTTCTTTGTTGCTCTTCGTTGTGGTGCCTCTAACGCTTTTAGGTCGCGCTTCAATCCAGATCGCCAAGCTTGGATAGCGTATTCAACATGCGGGTGCACGTAGGAATTGTGCATCATTGGGAAGATTGATGGGTCAAATCTCCCGAATATCCTTCGCAGTATGCCGACGTGCTGGTTGCCTCTTTTCGCAGCTACCTCAGCATGTTTTGAACAGTTGAGGTCGCTCTGTACGATCCCACCACGGTCACTTTCCTGGGAGCTGGTTTGCAATCCGTTTG